GTTGGAAGAATTATTTTTTTTGCATCTCACTTGTGTGGCCCCAACTGACTTTTCTGTGGATCTACACAGCAAAAGCCCAATGAAAAAGCGATCTGCTTTTTCGAAAGATAGCGTCCAGTCAAGGTGAATGCTATCTCGCATGTAAATTGTGAATACTGTGGATAGAGTGGGCACTCTGAGCTTAAATTCTTTTGAAAAAACACTCTCTTCCACGTCCACACATGCCTTTTTCCGAAAAAGCTTTTTTGGAAAAAGGCTTCTTCCTCATAGAATGAGGTTTACTGCTGTTGGAAAAACCTCTCCATTCTTTCATCTTTCTATCGAGAGACCACAATAGCAGTGTTGACGTAAGTATTGTTTTTCTCGAAAAATGGCTATTTTTCTGGGAAAAACTCTGCGGTGTAGACACACCCTCTGTATCCTTTTTTTTTTTTTAAATATATGTATTCCTTCTTCAGCATCTGAGGAAGTAAGTTGTAGCTCATGAAAGCGTATGCCCTAATACATTGGTTAAACTTTGAAGTGCCACCAGACTCCTTATTTTTCCCGGAAAGAGAAGCTCTCAACTAATCATCTATTTTTGTTTCCTTTTCCAGAGAAACAAGCTGTGGAACTTCGTAAGTGTCATTCTCTCTCATCCTAAATGTCAAACTTTTGTGAAAAGGATATGACCCTGCATGTAGATCCCTGGGAAGTGAAGCTCCCCTATTAATTGTTGGTCCATGTTTGTTTGTTTGTTTGTTTTTTAGAGAGACAAGCAGCAGAACTTCGTAAGTGTCATTCCTCCCTTGCTACATGAGAGAATTTTGTACATGGGTGTATCCTTACAATGGGGCTGTGGTCATAAAGGGGTTGGAGTTCGTTTTGTTGGGTTTGTAACTTGAATAATAATAGAGGTCCCGGGTTAAGCATGAGAATCTAACAGCAAAAAGTAATGCGAAATAATACTCTGGGGAACTAAGAAGTAGAGCGACTGTGTGGCTATGTCTACACTATAGGCTTTTTGTGCTAGAACGGTTATTCTTGCAAAAAACTTGCGGAGCATCTACACTGCATGGCTGTGTCTAGACTGGCCAGTTTTTCCGAAAAATCAGTTGCTTTTCTGGAAAAACTTGCCAGCTGTCTACACTGGCCGCTTGAATTTCCGCGAAAGCAACTGACTCCTACTGTAATAAATCAGTGCTTTTTTGTGGAAATACTATGCTGCTCTCATTCGGGCAAAAGTCCTTTTGCACAAAACTTTTGCACAAAAGGGCCAGTATAGACAGCTGAGATTTGTTTTCCGCAAAAAAGCCCCGATCACGAAAATGGCGATCGGGGCTTTTTTGTGGAAAAGCGTCCATGCCAATCTAGATGCTCTTTTCTGAAAATGCTTTTAACAGAAAACTTTTCCGTTAAAAGCATTTCTGGAAAATCATGCCAGTCTAGACGTAGCCCATGTGTGTTCTTGCACAAGTAAATTTACAGTAAGGAGCCGGAACAGAGGGCTTCTTGCACAAGAGTTATTCCTCTCCCCACGAGGAATAAGCCCTCTTGCACAAGAAGGCAGTGTGGACCGGCAACAGGGGTTTCTTGCGCAAGAGTGTCCACACTGCCATGAATGCTCTTGCACAAAAGCACGTGGCAGTGTGGACACGCTCTTGCACAAAACAGTTCTTGCACAAAAAGCCTGCAGTGTAGACATAGCCTGCATGTAGAACATGGGCTCAGATCTCATCTCATCTTTCCTTATGTGGTTGGTTTTAGGGTGGAGAAGATTGGTGGTACCTATTGAAGAAGGTAAATTAATGTTCCTATTTTGTCAATGTTCCATTCTCCCCTCCCATGTGAAAATGTGGCTCCTTTTCCTTCACTGTAGGAGTGCATTTGGGCCTGATAGCTCAGGGCAGGCCTCACCAACCTCCTGCAATTTAAGGGACACCATAAGGTTGTAACTCTTCTCCCAGAGAGCGTTGGCAGCAACAAGGGGTCAGGTTCTATTTCTAGGAAGTTCTTCTAAAAAATGCCATATAGATCCGATGCACGCCCTTACCCAGTAACCTGGGAAAACTAAACAGCACTCCTGAGTAGGGATGTAAGTACCTAGTCGACTACCCAATAAGCATAAGCTTATCAGATAGTCAAGTAGTCACTCAGCTAGTTGCTTCTCCCCCCACCTTGCTGCCTCTATCAGAGAGAGGCAGCAAGGGGGGGGGAGCAGGAAGCTTCTCCCCCCCAGCACCGTCTCCGCAGACTGCTGTGCCTCTCCCTTTGAAATGTACAAGAGCCGCAGGTGGGGAGAATTTCAAAGGGAGAGACGCAGCGGGCTAGTGAGCACTCCACTTATCAACTAATCAAGCAGTCAATGAATTTCCATCGGCTACTCAGTTAGCTGATTGATCGAAATTTAACATCCCTACCCCTGAGCAATGTTCCCGCTAATCTTTTCTGTCCGTGCATGGATTTTTCCATCCATGTATGGAATACATTTTGTGTGTGCTGAGGTATGTGTGAAAGTGCACCACCAGGAGAAACACAAAAGCTATGGCTATGTCTAGACTGGCATGATTTTCCGAAAATGCTTTTCACGGAAAAAATTTTCCGTTAAAAGCATTTGCGGAAAAGAGCATCTAGATTGGCATGGATGCCATGCCAATCTAGATGCGGTTTTGAGCAAGAAAGCCCCGATTGCCATTTTCGCCATGGGGCTTTTTTGCACAAAACCGTTTTTAGCTGTCTACACTGGCCCTCTTGCGCAAATACATTTGCACAAGAGGGCTTTTTCCCCGAACAGGAGCATCATAGTATTTGCGGAAGAACACTGACAATCTTACATTAGATCTTCAGTGTTCTTGCGCAAATTCAAGCGGCCAGTGTAGACAGCTGGCAAGTTTTTCCTGCTGCTTTTGCGGAAAAACTTGCGAGTCTAGACGCAGCCTATGTGTACACTCGCGGCTTCTTGCATGAGAAATATGCAAATGAAGCATGGAATATTGCCGAGCCTCATTTGCATACCTAATGAGCTGCCATTTTTGCAGAAGAGGCTCTGATTATTTTCAGGAATAGAGGCATTGTGCAAGAGGGTTTTTCTTGCACGAGAAGGGGCAGTGTAGACAGCTCCTTCTGGCTCAAGAGCCTCTTTTGCAAAAATGGCGTCTACATTGCGTGCCAGCGTAGACGTAGCCTAAGAGTAGGGTGACCATGTTTGATCATCTCTAGGATACAGTAAAAGAACTCATTAGGTTTTGATTAAGACTGGGCAGTGCTGCAAGCATTGATATCTACAGCTTAGTGTTAGAGCCACTATGGGACAGTGCGTCTGATACACTAACCGGGCGGCTCCCTTGAGAACAGCTGGAATCACTGGGAGCTGGGTGGGCCCTGGAGCTATTTTAGTAAATGGGCAGCCGGGTGGCGAAGGCCAGAGCAGACCCCAGCTGAGATTTACAGCAAGTCAGAGCCCATGCATATGAGAGCAGCTTCTGAAGGCCTTTTCTGCAGCTCCCCACCTGCGAAAAGAGCTCATTTGCATTCTGCCCGCCCCCCTGCACTGATTGGACAAAAGATCCGTCTGATGCAAAAGCATCCGGGATCGGAGGCCCTGGCCATGTTCCGTTTTTCCTCTCCGCCTCCCCTGGTAGCTTCTCTCTCCCGCGATCAAGCCAACTCGTTAATCTCCCTAACGTCCACCCGCATCTTACCTCCAGCAGCCGCATTCTCCCATAGCCCCAGAGCGATGCCGGCGGGTCCCCTCCCCACACACACAGCGTGTGCCGCCTTGGCAGCCAAGCAGAGCTGTGTCCTGTTATTGACACATTTCTGCTGGGGGGGTTGTGGCTCATGGAAATGATGCCGGCTTCTGGGGGGAGGCATAGGGGAGGGTCCCCAAGTCACCTTCCGGCTGGGGCAGAGTCTGTCACTGCTCACACCTCCTTCTGGTGCAGGGTTCTGACTCTGGCTCTTGGCTTCCCTTCTCCTTGTCATGGCTCCTTCCCCACTCTGGCATGATAAATGCAGAAGTGGGGGCCAGCAAGTGTACCCCAAAGCCTTATCTACCAGGCTTTGGTATAAAACTTCCCCCCAAGATCTTAAAAACCTAGATCTTGGGAATAAAACTTCCGCTGCCACCACCCAAATGTTGATAAAGAAATCAGGGGAAAGATCATTTGGGAAATCTTACCCCTAAAATAAAAATCAGGGCACACAATTAACCACTGCCAGGTTAATAAAAAGAAAAGAAAGAACCTTTATTATTACAACAATATTCCTGTTGCAAACATAATGACTAGATAGGGAGGTAACAAAATATACTCATGGAGAAACTCCATGGGCCTAGAACTTAGTTACAAAGAAAAGCCAAAACATCTTTTAAACAGTGCCAGATCTCAGATCCCATACCCAATCCTTAAAACAATAAAACCTAACGAAACTGCCTAAACTTTACCCTACTTACAGAAAATGAAGAATGGTGTCTTGGAGAGAGAGAGAGAGAGACATGCTTGTCCCTCTCTGTAGCTGCAGAGAACACACTGCGAGACAAAAGGAGAAAGGAAAAAAAACCCAAATTCCTTTGTCCCAGTTTGAAAAGTCCCACCTACATTCTTATTGGTCTCTCCACCTGGCTAGGTGTAGTTAACCCCTTAATCCCCAGGCTGCTGGCTAACCCTCATAATCATGACACTCCTTCTCCCCCCTCTCCCTCTCCCCGCAGCAAAGGTGACTCTGGATCCAAACACGGCTCATCGCAACCTCATCCTGTCTCAGGATGGGAAACATGTGAGTTGGGCAGGCACCCGGCAGGATCTGCCCGACAACCCGGAGCGATTTGACACTGATCTCTCTGTGCTGTGTTGCGAGGGCTTTGCCTCGGGAACACATTGCTGGGAGGTGGAGGCAAAAGTGGGGGATGGGATATACTGGGCTGTGGGGGTGGCCAGAGAGTCTGTGGGCAGGAAGGGAAAGATGAGCCACAAACCTGAGGAGGGGATCTGGGCCGTGAAATGGTGGGGGGATCACATCAAGGTTCTCACCTCCCCTGAGACCCTCCTGCCCCTGAAGCAGGCTCCCAGCAGGATCCGGGTTTGTCTGGACTGTGACCGGGGGCAGGTGGCATTTTTTGATGCGGATGCCAAGGCCCAGATCTTCACTTTCCCGCCTGGCTCCATCCCCGGGGAGAAAATCCGCCCCTGGCTCTGGGTAGGGTGGCAAGGTAAGCTCAGCCTGGATCTCTGAGACATGGGGGTGGGGTAAGGTGGCAAGTATCCCCCGGAAAGCCCTGGTAGCCTATCTAGCCTCACCTACTCTAACCATAGGGCTGTGTCTAGACTGGCCAGTTTTTCCGGAAAATCAGCCGCTTTTCTGGAAAAACTTGCCAGCTGTCTACACTGGCCGCTTGAATTTCCGCAAAAGCACTGACTTCCTACTGTCTGAAATCAGTGCTGCTTGCGGAAATACTATGCTGCTCCCGTTCGGGCAAAAGTCCCTTTTGCGCAAAACTTTTGCGCAAAAGGGCCAGTGGAGACAGCTGAGATTTGTTTTCCGCAAAAAAAAACCCCCGATCGCGAAAATGGCGATCGGGGCTTTTTTGCGCAAAAGCGCGTCTAGATTGGCCACGGCTCCTCTTTGGAAACCTCCCTTCAGGAAGCTGAAGGCTGCTCTCAAATCACTTCACTGCTGCAGCTTAAATAAGCCCAAATCCCTCAGCCTCTCCTCATAGGTCATGTGCTTCAGTCCCGCGTCATTTTGGTTGCCCTCTGCTGGACCCTCTCCAATGCGTCCACATCCTTTTCTGTAGTGGGGGGCCCAGAACGGAACACAATAGCCCAGATGTGGCCTCACCAGAGCCAAATTAAGGGGATTAATCACTTCTCTAGATCTGCTGGCAATGCTCCTCCTAATGCACCCTAATACGCCATTTGCATTCTTGGCTATAGGGGCACACTGTTGACTCATTTTTTTTCTGCCCTTCAGGGCTCTCCTTAGGCTGTAACTCCAATTGTGTCTAAGGGGGGACTGTGTAGGAAATCAAAACTCTCTAAAAGAAAACTGCTGTAAGGGTTAAAAGTTTTCCAGGCCTCTCTCCCTGTAACAGAGAGAAATCAAATTAACTCTAATCAAGACCCTTACAATGCCTATCTCAAGTTCATGGATACTCCTAGTCTGTCACAATTTGTCATGTAAACCCTTATCTTTGTCACAGTTTGCCTTGTAGACTCCTCCACTCAAGTTCTCATGTGGCTTTGTACTGTAAAACTTACTTCTAGCACTCCTGGTGTGACCAGAAACATCTCAGAGTACTTCTGCTGAGACTTTGATATGTTAAAGAAAACAATCAACAACTAAACTGTCTGAGCATACTGTATACAGGATCCCTGAAACTGTCTCTTAATGCTGCGGCTGCTCACTCTGGTAGCTGTCAGCCTGCATGCATGCATAATAAAGTTTTCCTTCTAGGTTTCTCTCCTGCCTCACTGATTTGACCTCCTGCCTCGGACCCTTCTGGGGGCTCTGTACCCCAGGGGAGCGAGATTTCCCCACAATTGCACAGCCGGGGGAGGGGGGGTGTAGCATAACCCGGATGCAGGGTGCCGTGGGGGACGACGACTGTGTGAGAGAGTAAAAACCACTAATCTTTGTGCCAAAGCTGACCAAAGGCTGCCCTCCCTGGAAGGGCCCCATTGTACTAGTTCCGCAGGAACCACGCCTGCATGAATCCAATAGTGTTTGTGTGAAACTGGGGTGAAGTTAAAACTGTTTCGTGTATTTTTTTTAAATAAAAATATGAAAATGTTTTGCATTTTATTGACAGCAGCTTTATTCATACTGATCTTGCTGGTCCTCCCCCTCCTCCCAGCAGGGAGGCACAGAGGCTGCCCCAAGGAGCAGGCCAACCCCCCAAACAGAACCAGACCCACGTCGTCATCCCTGGCCAAACTGGACCAGACCCATGTCCCCCCCAGGCCAAATTGAACCAGACCAGACCCGCATACCCCCCACCCTGACCAAATTGAACAAGACCAACTCCTCCCCTCCCCCCATGCCAAACCAGACCCACGTCCCTTCCTGGACCAAACTGGACCCAGCCCATATCTCTCCCTAGAGCAGGGCCATGGGTTATGGAGGGGGAAAGGTGAAAATGGAGAGGTCCAGTCTCCCCCATTTATGCTGTTGAGGGGATGAGGCAGAGGAAACAGAAAGGTCCAGATTCTCCCGTGGGTGATAAAGAGGTGGGTTGTGGAGAATTATGGCTGGGAGAGGAATAGAGGGGGGCTGAAAATATGACAGCAGCTGCAGATTCAAAGTGTCAAACCTTTAACTGCCTCTCAAATTTTAAAGGCAGGAGCCATCATGCACCAGAGCTTTTCACAATATTCGGTGTTGGCCCCTTCTTTGAAAATATTTCCCGCTGTAACAACCTCCCCTCTCCACCAAGCGTGTCAGCGCGTCCCTGCTCACCTGCATGGTGCTCCTGGGGCACACAGCAGGATGGCGACAGTCCACGGCTCAGAAGCCTCCTGTCAATTTAGAGCAGCCGGTGCTGGGACCCAGAAGGTGGGCAGTGCAGGAAGACACGTGCAGCAGGAAAAACCTAGAAACCAGGATACGACTGGAGGAATTGGAAGCCTTTGTATGGCCGTGACAATAATCATCACGTTGTCCAAGGAGTGTGGCTAAATGCATGGCCATTCACAAAGCAATGGCGGGAGGCTTATGTAATGAGGAGGGGTTGCATGGCCATAGCCTGTTTTCTGGCACCCTGATCTCCATATGGGCAGCTTTTTAAAACACAAAAAAGAGTTCTGAGCCACCCCCACCCATGTAAGTTGTGGGAACAGACCACTATGAACTCCGGCTGGGTTGGAGCTCAGGGATCTCTAATCTTTTTAAGCACAAGATCACTTTGCGAAATTAAGTGCAATCCAGGATCTACCTCAAACCCAAATGCCCTTGCCCCGCCTCCCTCCCACCCCTTCTGAGGACCCACCCCTGCTCACTCCATCCTCCCTCCCTCCCCCATCCTCACTCAGGGGGCAGAGGGTTGGGGTATGGGGGAAGGGGATGCAGACTGATTTGGGGCTAAAGGATTTGAAGTGTGGGAGGGGTTTTGAGCTGAGCCCGGGACAGGGAGTTGAGGTGTAGGACGGGTGCAAGTCCTGGGAGGGAATTTGGGTGCAGGCAGACTCAGGGCTAGGGCAGGGATTTGGGGTGCAGGAGGGGGTTCAGGACTGAGGCTGGGGTTTGGAATGCTGGCTCCAGCTGGGCACTGCAGGAGGCTTCTGAGTGGTGGTGCAGTGAGGCTGAGGCAGGCTCATCCCTAAGTCCTGGGAGGGAATTTGGGTGCAGGCAGACTCAGGGCTAGGGCAGGGATTTGGGGTGCAGGAGGGGGTTCAGGACTGAGGCTGGGGTTTGGAATGCTGGCTCCAGCTGGGCACTGCAGGAGGCTTCTGAGTGGTGGTGCAGTGAGGCTGAGGCAGGCTCATCCCTACCCTGGCCCTGCACCACTCCAAAAAGCAGCCAGCAAACTCCCTCCATCAGGATCACCTGTCAAAGGCTCCAAGATCTACCGGTAGATCCTGATCTACTGATTGGTGGCCATTGCCTTAGAGCAGTGTTTCTCAAGGCAGGGGGACAGGACCAAAGGGAATGACAAGGCTAGTGAGGGGGGGTTGGGAGTAGAGTGATCCTACATCTATGCCTTCCCCAGCCCAGCCATTGCACCTCTCAGGGACAGGGCCGGGGATCTCGTATTGGACCAGCTTGCGCAGGGAGAGCTAACCGCAGAGGCAGCAGGCTGTGTGGCCGGAGCTAACCCAGCTTGCAAGGGCTTTGTGGGAGAAGTGGCCCATAAGACCGGCAGGACAAAAGCAGGACCCCTAGGCTGCCGGTTGCAGGAATAAGCCATAAACCCAGGGGCGTAGGAAGGCCGCAGGAGTTCTGGCATCTGGCAATTCTGGCGTCATGGCTTTGGTCCTGTGACTGTTAACAGGCCAGTCCCCTCGGCTGGTTCCTGGCAATCTGGGCTAACGCTGGGGTAACCCGTCTGCATCGCCCTGGGTTTACCTGTGGGGCTGGGAGTCCATTTCCCAGCCTGCCGGAGAGCTCTGTGTCAGCGCGAAACCTCGTCTGCCTCGCCCGCCCGCCCGCCGGGGCTGTCCAGTGAGAGTCACGACCCAGCCACCTCGTCTCGCTGATCCCCTGGGGCCGACTGGGCACCCACACACTGCCGATATCTATCTAGTGATCTGTCTGTCCCTGTGCACCCTCTGCCTGTCTGCCTGTCTGTCTGTCCCCATGCACCTCATCTATCTACCCATCCCCATTACACCTCCTGTCACAGAATCCTAGAATCCTAGGGCTGGAAGAGACCTCAGGAGTCATCGAGTCCAGCCCCCTGCCCAACGCAGGACCAACCCCAACTCAATGAACCCAGCCAGGGCTTTGTCAAGCAGAGACTTAAAAACCTCTAGGGATGGAGGTTCCACCATCTGCCCCCCACCCTGTCTCCAAACACCCCCCCTCTCTAACTACTCCTTCAGGTGGAGCACACACGCAGGGACACAACCATAAACACCCCTGCAGAGACACGGAAAGATTCAGAGATGTTCACTCACACATTCACATGCACATACAAGGACATGCACACACACACAGACACGCACACACACATGCAAGGACACACAAAAATACAAACAGTGTACATATACATACAGGGACACACCCACATACACAAACACACACTCGGCCAGTGGCCAGTCAGGGGCCAGTGTGCTCTGCAAGCTGTGTGCATGGGCAGGCGCTTGGGGGAAATTCAGGTGCCACTCAGCTGATCAGCAGAGCCCCCAGAGGAGGCACTGCCTCTGCCGCTACAGTCCCTGGGCCGAGCTCGACCGCAGCTCGGGCCCACGAAAGCTCATCACCTAATAAACCATCTTGTTAGTCTTTAAAGTGCTACATTGTCCTGCATTTTGCTTGCACAAGAGGGCTTATTCATAGACTCATAGATTTTAAGGTCAGAAGAGACCATTATGATCATCTAGTCTGACCCCCTGCACAGTGCAGGCTACAGAATCTCACCCACCCCTCCTAGAATAATCCTCTCACCTATATCTCAGATATTGAAGCCTTCAAATACTTTGAAGACCCCAAGATGCAGAGAATCCTCCAGCTGTGATCTGCGCCCCATGCTACAGAAGAAGGCGAAAAACCTCCAGGGCCTCTGCCAATCTACCCTGGAGGAAAATTCCTTCCCGACCCCAAATATGGCGATCAGCTAAACCCTGAGCATGTGGGCAAGACTCACCAGCCAGACACCCAGAAAGTTCTCTACAGTAACTCCTATCATCTCCTATTCCTCATGGGGAGAGAAATAACTCTTCCGGAAGAA